TTATTATTTATCTCGATTAGTCACTAAAGCCTTTATTCTTTTTATTTTCTACGAAGTCATCAAAAGAATAAATAACTGTTCTCATCAGAAATTTACCTAGAATCCCGAGACTAGTAACAGATGTAGCACCTCCTCTTCCACGAGCTGGGCCACTCGGCATACAGAAATCAAAGTACCAATTCAACTGTTAGAGAAAGAACAAACATTTCACAAAACCTTTGGTAACAAAAATACAAGACAGCCTATATCAAGAAATTAGAGCTTCAAGCATAGAACGCCTAAACAAGCAAACAAATAACTTCCCAGAGCTATCAACAAAGGAAAACAGAGATTGAAATAGATTTCAACCCATCTTCAGAACTCTAGCATGAAATAGAGCAATTCCATTGGAGCAGACTCTAGAACCTATTAGGCACAATTCCGACCATAATACATCCACTGCATGCGACTTGGTCAAGACAAAAAGCATACAGAAAGTATGTAAGAGCACAGTCAGCATTCAAACATACACATAGATGAAACATACAAAATTCTCAGTCAAAGAAAGAGATGGTTAATCGATTGACATACACCATCACAACAGTCCTCTGGTTCGCTCCTCCAACTACATTTACACGATCTGACAAAGGAACTTCTGGGTTGGAACTATGACTGTCCAACGGGACGGGACGACATTTAAGCGGGACAGTGGCGGGACGGGACAAAACGGGACGGGACAAACGGGACGAAACGGTCGTCTCATCCCATCCCGCTAACAAACGGGACGGGTTCGTGGGTCTTAAGTGTATTTTTTTTTTAAAAAAACGTCTAGTTTTTTGAAAATTACTGTGGTTTTAAAGTTTACAATGGCTAGATTTTTGACTTATTTAATAAACTTAAATGTTATTATGTTAAAACGAAAATTAGAAAACTAAGTAAAGAATTATAAAATATTAAAACAAAAGACTTGTAATGAAATATTCTAGTAATTGTAAATTTATAATAGAGTTATAATTTATTTAATATAATTTTAAAGTATTAACTATTAAGTAACTAAGACAATTCATAAAAAAAATTCAACGCTTAGAGCCTTTTATTTTATTAATGGAACTTTCAAATCTCAAATACAAATATAATTCTTTTGACGAGCATCTAATCTACGCAACCACCTTCTAGGAAGGGTTCTGTTTGAACTAGGCTTCTTAGTAGCCAATTACAAATTATTATACTAATATTTGTAAGCTCCTATATAGCTTCTTTGTAACTTATCAATAAAATCTCTCGGACATTGTTTTGGAATTGGCAGTGTTGAATGTTGATTGATGTTCTATGAGCTCCATGCCGTCATCGGTCCCAATGCTAAGTATCTCATTGTATTTTTCTTCTTCCCTAGTGTTTAATTTTTCAAAACCAAGATTTCTTCTTTCTACATTAATCCAATCTCTGAATAATACAAAAATCTCTAGGTTGTCCTCTGCTAATGAATGTCTATGATCTCCGATTTGAAATATTGTTGCGCTAAAAGCATTCTCCGGTGCTAAGAGTCAAGTTCATCATCAATAGAGGAATCAAAACATGTTATATCATCAATATCTTCCCATAAGAATTTCTACTCTAGACTTAGAAGTAGAAGGAGCAGTTTCACCACTTGTTGTTTCTATAGATTTATATTTATCAAACATTGATCTAGATTCTAGAATAAGAATATATGTTAGCTTGGAAGTCTTCGAGAGATGGTTGTTCATATTCTTGAATTGCTAAATTTTGATAAATTTTACGAACAAGTCCCTTTGCACCTCTTAATTTTAAATATGGATTAAGTATTGTAGAAATTAAATAAACTTGGGGAATAGAGAAAAAATACTTTTTAAATTTTGCAATCATTTCATTAATGGCCGGTGCATAAGTTGGATCTGTTTTATACTAACCAAATACAACAGAAATTCCACAAATATACCATAAAAACTCGCGGGACAGGCGGGACGAGATGGGACGGGACANTGAGGTGGATGTGCGGGCATACAAGGATGGACAAGATTAGGAATGAAGACATTCGAGAGAAGGTGGGCGTGGCCCCCATGGAGGACAAGATGCGGGAAGCAAGACTCAGATGGTTCGGGCACATTCAGAGGAGGAGCACTGATGCACCAGTGAGGAGGTGTGAGCGACTGCCGGTGGCGGGCACGAGGAGAGGTAGAGGGAGACCTAAGAAGTATTGGGGGAGGTGATCAAGCAGGACATGGCACGACTTAGGATTTCCGAGGTCATGACCCTTGACAGGGAATTGTGGATGTCGAGTATTAAGGTTGTAGGTTAGAGGGTAGTTTGTGAATATTAATACAACGCACTAGAGTGAGACTAACCATTTAGGAGTTAGTTTTAGGATGCTACTGATCAGCTACTGATGCAGCGCTATATCTGTTGGATATTAGTATACCTTACATCCTTTTCTCCATCATTTTCGTATTTCTTATATTTCTTATATTGTTGTTATTTTTATTTTATGTTATGTACTATATGTTTTATTATGAGCCTATTGATAGTACTAATATATTGTCTCTTGTTGCTCTCTTGAGCCGAGGGTCTCCTGGAAACAGCCTCTCAGCCCCTCGGGGTAGGGGTAAAGTCTGCGTACATATTACCCTCCCCAGACCCCACTTGTGGGATTATACTGGGATGTTGTTGTTGTTGTTGTTGTTTAAGTTAATCAGAGAATACATTTTTCTTGGGTCTTCAAATTTCTTGATTTCGATTAGTAAATGTGATTTCATACCATACTTACAAGTTAAAAGCTAAGAACATGGCAACTTCAAAAGATGGCAAAGTCAATTGGCTGTGTGGAGGATGCACTGTAGTCAAATCTTTTTTTACTTAGAATGGTAAATTTGTAAATGGAAGGGCCAAAGTAAGAAAGACACTTACATTAAACAACACAGTTTACATCACCAGCAAATTTGAGTCGTTAAATGAAAAGAAAAAGATCCTCAAGGATTCAGTATATGTTTGACGATTTAGCCTAATACGTCTACGCCAGGATTTCATTATCATTATGCTCACATTCTGGATTCATATCTAACAAGTGACATGAGACTACCCATGCTTAGAAGTCAATAAATAGTTTCCAAAACCAGCTGATGACAGAAAAAAAAGAACAGTGCAGATAACTGATAGTGTCATCACACTGATTGCAAGGTAAATCAGGAAGGGATAATAGAAATAGGAAAATTACCTTTAGTTTTAGATCCTTCCCAGTTGCTTGTGATGGGATCTTAGCGTGCTTGGCACGTACATAAAAAGCCAATATTCCTTCCGTGACAATTAGCCAACTTCCACAGGTTGTGCTATTAGGCGGCACTGCCAAAATGTTGCTTTCTAACAGCGATATGCATCTCACGTAGCACTGCAATCAATACTCCTTCCATGACAACTAGCCAACTTTTAGTTTTAGACGGCACCGCCAAAATTTTACTTTCTAACAGTTATGTGCATCTTATGTAGCACTGCAGTGACTGCATAAAGTGTCCCATATGAAGGTAAGTCATCAAAGTAAGTTCTATAGATCCACAAAATAAGGACTAAACCGAATAACAAACCTGTAAGAAGTGCGATCACCTCTTTTCTAGGAAAAATTCCTATCAAGGAAATTGAGAAAGAGAAGAACTATCAGCAATCTAAGATCTTATAAATCAACAGAAAGAACAGATCACTGTGCTGGCCGCCTTAATGTGATCAAAAGATACATGTGCCAAGAGAGAATTGAGACAAAAGCGCTGCAACACCTCAGCTCTACGTAGATTCAAGTAAATCAAGAAAGTAGCCTTATTCACCTTACTTCTAGATCTGCACCTAGGCTGTGCCCAATTGTTTGTCCATAAGGAGGCAATATCATTTCTAACCTCTTTGTCATTTCGTACAGCTTCTGTAACTTTTCCTCCTCCCCCAGCTGTAAGAGAGACCTCTTCAACATCTGATACACTAGCTCACTCATGTGCCTACCCCTCTTCAACATTTCCTCAGAGCACTCAAATGCTTCTTCAACTCTCCCACGGGAACACAATCCGGTGACCAAAATTTCCAGAGAATGGCAGTGTGGACAGTGCCCTTTATCCATCAGGTAATTCCATAAACTTAAGCCCAGATCAAGTCTGCGGTTCTCACAGAAGAATTTCATCAGCGTCACAACAGTACGTGCCTTAGGCAAGAAATTTTTGTCGATCATCTTTTCGTAAAGATCAATGACACCGCCAACATCTTTTGATCTTATCAATCCCCAGAACATAGTGTGGTAAGTTAAATGGTCAAGCTCAATATTTTTCTCCTCCATCTCTTCCATTAAGCCTGCTGCAGATTTAACATCCCTGGATTTGATAAGAGAACTCACAAGGGCATTATAGGCCCCAGTATCTGGTTGCAAATTTCTCTTGTAAATTTCATTGAAAAGTTCTTTTGCTTTAGCTATATTACGAGCAATTCCTGCTCCATGAATCAAAGTTGTTATCGTCTGAACTGTGGGCAAGCAATTTACCCTCTCCATTTCTTCAAATAGTTTCAAAGCATCACCAAGATGACCTTTCTTACAGTAAGCGTCGATTCTTATACCGTGCGTTACGTTATTAGGCTTAAACCCTCTTTTAACCATCTCATGGTAAAATAACTCTACCGCAGTAATATCCCCTGATTCCTTGAATCCCAAAAGCAAGATATTCATTGTCTTTGTATCAGGTGGGAACCTTGAGTGGAGTTTGTTGAATATCGAACGAGCTTCTTTCATCTGCCTCTGCGTGCAAAATGCTCGAAGAAGAATATTGAACTCTTCAGTGCCAAATTTCTTCGCAGGGAATAAATGCTTCTCCATCTTTTCAAACGCTTCAAGGGCATCTTCATAGGATTGATGTTTTGCTATTCTTGATAGCACGATGCTCAATGACTTAAGAGTGAGCAAGGACGGGTGTAGCTGTTGAATTTTCTTCATTAGTTCCCAAACTTTATCAAAATAACGCATTCTTGCTAGTATGTGAAGTGTCTTCTCAAATGCATCTGAGGTTGGACTGTATTCAGAATGGCGGAGGCAGAACTCAAAAAATTCATATGCTTTAAGTCCATTTGCATGTGCTGCAAATAGGCGACCTAGGACATTTTCAACAAACTTGGCAGACAAAACACTCGGAGAGATATGAAGTTTAAGTGTTGGTTGCAATGGCTGAACAGGAAAAGGGTGGTCATTGATGATTCTAGCAATTGTTTCAATGTCATCTTTTGTTTCTGAAACTGAATGTAGCCAACTACTTGACCAAAAGTGATCCTTTAGCTGTCCAACAACTCGAAAAACTTGACCTAATTTATTTATTCGTTTAGAAAGCACGACCACCATTTCAAGTAACAAAGTCAAAGTTCTGCACTTCAATCAATACGAGAAAGCTAACAACAATACCTTATCCTATCTAGATGAGCTGACAGTTGCTTAATACAAAAAATAAATAGCATACGCTATATACACATAATACAAACAGATCAACAAGCAAACTTACAAATCGAAAATCAGCCAAATCAAAAGGTTATTGAATAACGCTAAAACGTGAACTTTCTGCAGTTTCAATAATAATCACCATAAAAACGAGAAAAATCATTACAATCTTACCAAAATCCGTTGATATACACAAAGAACGAGCAAATGTGCGATTTTTTAAGGAGAGAAGAGATTATTAGGGCTTGAGAGTAAATTTTGAAGGTCTTTCTTTAAGAGGCTGGAATGTGGTAGGTAAGCCGTTGCAAAAAGTGCTTTATTAAAATGCGATTATTAGTCGCAATTTGTTAAATGCAACTAATTAAATACGATTATAAGTCGCATATGCCACATGCGATTTATAAGTCGCATATGCCACATGCGATTTATAAGTCGCAATTACCCAAGCCCCTTTTTTGCGTTCGGCCAAAGGTGATATTTTTTTGCTAACTTATTTGGTCAAGCTTTTAGAAGGAAAAAAGTACTTTTGAGTTAGAAGTATAAACATTTTTTAAGAAGAAGAAAAAAAGAGCTCTTGAACAACATTTTTTGGGGAAAACAACAATAACAAACCTAGTGTATTTTCATAAATGGGATTTGGGGAGAGTAACGTATACACAGACCTTACCCCTATCTTATAAAGATAGACATGTTGTTTTCGATAGACCCTCGGCTCAAGGAACAATGTAGATTTTGAAAAATACGTTTGAGAAATACACTTACAAGTATCTTTCAAAAGTTTGGTCAAATACTAATTACTTCTCAAATATATTTTTTAAATTAATTAATAAAATACAAACTGCTTTTTATCAAAAGTACCTTCTAAAAAAAATACTTTTCAAAATAAGCTCATTTTAAAAGCTTGGCCAAACATGTTGTTACTATAGTTGTAGCTCTTGTTTGAGACTGCTAACAGAGTGTGTTTAGGTGTGATTTTTATATTGATCACTAGTGATTAATAATAAATATTAGTTACCAAAAAAAAAAAGGACAATTGATCTATGTCAATTTCATCACAATATTTGCTTGGCTAGCCTTTCAAAAGTAAATGCAGCAATTAAATTAAGCACGAGATAAAACTATTATATAAAAAGATACCATAATGATAAAATATATTATTTAATGATAAGAAATAACAAGATGAGAAAAAGAAGTAAGTTAATAATGAAATTATATCAAATCGATTGTTAATACTTTTTATTATTCGATGAATTTAATGATACAATACAATAAAATTTAAGTAATAATTATAATAAATATTATAGTTAAAATAACAATACCATACGATATAATAGCTAATAACCATCCAAACAAGAACTACTCTATTAGTGGAAAATAATTAAAAAAGATTTGCTAAAAAGAAAAAAAAAAAACACAATCCCCTTTCTTCCCGGGTTTGGGAATTTCATAGGTTTCAACCGTAAGCATATAGCGCGCGCCTCTTCTTGTTCTTCTTCTTCAATTGATCAAAAAATGCGAACCAGAAATAAGGCAAAACTACAGAATCAATCAACTGGTATGTTTCCTAACTCTTCAAAGAAAAAAAAAAACCAAGAATGCATAAAAATTCAATCTTTGATTCTTCTTTTTCACAATTGCAGCTTATTTCTCCTCTTGTTTAATACCCTTTATTGGACTATTTCTTCTTTATTTGCTAGTTGTCTTTAGGATTCAGTTTATTTACTGGTATGTTTTCCTTAACCACACTACATGTTACAAAAAACACAACCTGATTGCATAAAAATTCAATTTTTAGACTTTTTTTCCACACTTTTTTGCCTCTCTCGTCTTTCTTACAACCCCTTTTTAAGGTTCTTTCATGTTTATTTGCTAGTTATCTTTTTTTTTTTTTTTTTTTTTATGTAACCCTTTATTGGTTTGGGTTATAGCTTGTAGAAAATGTAGTTTAAGTGAAAAGAGGCAGACCATCCTAGGCTTGTTTTTTTATTTTCAATTGATGGTATTTTTCCATGATAAGTAATTTCTCTTTGTCTGCCCCAAGTAGAGTCTTACTCTAAAATGTAACATTCATTTTTGAGAAAGGTAACATATTATTTAATCGTAGCACAAAGGTTGTGCTAAGGCCATAGATACATATATCAAAAACGAGCAAAACCACGACTATCTTCTAACTCCTACTACAGTGATCCTATGATATCTATCATTGAATCTACATCGTGTACAAAATCTTCCTTACACCAAAAGTGAAACAAAAATAAACAGTTCATCTTGATCCTCTGTAAGGAGTTGTGTCCTTCAAAACATCTACTGTTTCTTTCCATCCAAATTGTCCACCATATACATCCCGGGATAGTTTTCCACCACTTTTTTTGTTTGATCAGGTCTCTTGAGAAATTTCAGCAAGCAAGCATCTCCCCTATACTCCTGGGCATGGCCCATGACAGCCCTTTCATGTTCAAAAATAGTTGCCATAAAGCTGTAAGTTGAACTTGCAGTGTATAAATAAATGGCTACTACTTTCGGCCTCATTTCCACACATATAACACCTTAAGCACAATGGCATGCCTCTTCTCATTAGATTGTCTTGTGTTAGACAAGCATCCCTGGCTGCTAACCATACAAAGCATGCTACTTTTGTTGGTATTTTGGCTTGCCATATTGTTTTCCAACTCCATAATTGGGTTTGCTGACCTTGATTGTTGAGCCTTTTGTATGCTGAGTTTACTGTAAAAGAGCCACTCCTATGCCTCGTCCATTTCAACATATCCTCCTCCACTGTAGTCCCCTTGAACTGATCTAGAACATTCAGAAATTCAGTGAATCTAGGTAATTCCCAGTCATTTAGCTCTCTTCTAAAGTTGAATATCCATCCGTGTTGATCCCAACTGTCTTCCATCGTGGCTGCATTATTCAAACTCAAAACTTTCATGTCACTGAAAAGGTCTTTCAGAGGTCCATGTCCTAGCCAGTTATCATTCCAAAAAGATGTTTTCCTTCCATTTCCTACTACAATAGAAACATTCTCCACAAAAAGCGGCCAAATAGCCCTGATTGACCTCTATACACTAACACCATATGTTGTTGTCATTGCTCTAGGTATCCATTGTCCCTCTAATCCATATTTTTCAGTGATGACCTGTCGCCATAGAGTTTGATCTTCCCTGCCAAGCCTCCAAAGCCATTTCATGAGTAGACTTTTATTATGTAGTCTCAAGTTTCTTATGCGTAAGCCCCCAGATTTCTTGTTTTGCGTCAAAACATTCCAGTTTACCAAATGGTAACCTCCCTTCTCTTTATTTCCTTGCCAGATGAAATTCCTTCTCATAACATTGATCATTTTCTCTATTTTTGTAGGAATAGGAAAAAGGGACATCATGTATGTGGGAAGTGCATCTAAGACACTGTTAACAAAGTTACTCTGCCCTTAGGGATATGTACTGGCTTTTCCACTTGGCCAATCTTTTCTCACATCTTTCTAGCACCCCACTCCAAATATCTAACGACTTGTTTTTAGAACCCAATGGCATAGTAGGTTGTTGGAAGAGTTCCAACTGTGCATCGAAGAACACCTGCCAGCCTTTGTATATTAGTTACCTCATTTGCTGGAAAAATAAGGCTTTTCCTCCAATTGACATGTAGCCAGAGACTGCCTAAAAAATTGTTAGAATTAACTTGAGATGTCTTAGCTCATCTTCTTTTGCGTCACAAAATACCAAAGTATCGTCTGCATATAGTAGATGAGTTACCTGCATTCCACCTACAGTACTTGCCACCTTAAAACCAGTCATCCACCTATTGTTATTTGCTACCTTTATCATGTTATTTAGACCTTCCATTGCTATTAGGAACAAAAAAGGGGAGAGAGGGCCACCCTGTCTCAAACCTCTATGTGAAGGGAAGAAACCTTCTGGGGAACCATTGATGAGAACAGAGAAGTTGAGCTTATGCAGAAGAGCATCCATCTAATCCATTTTCTTCCCAAACCCATAGATTTCAGCATTTTGAGAAGAAAAACCCAGCTCACATGATCATATGCTTTCTCAATATCAAGTTTGCAAAGAATTCCAGGAGTCTTCATCTTTAGCCTTGAATCAACACATTCGTTAGCCACTAGTGCTGCATCCATTATCTGTCTCCCCTTTATGAAAGCCATCTGATGCCTATCTACTAGCTTGGAGATCACAGTTTTCAATCTCT